ATGCTTTTACAGTGGAGGGGAAGTGGAGGAAGGTGAGAGGGAATGAGTGAATCTTATTCTCATTAGATTTGGCTTGAGGAAGGAATAACCTACACACTCAATTGGGTATGGAAAGCTATCCTACCCTATAGGAAAATAGGGTGGAAGGGGTTAAGAGGGCAGGGAGATGATAAAGGGGAGGGCAGATTGGTGGGGGGGTAATCAGAAGGAAACACTTCTGAGGAGGGACAGTGTCAACAGAGAGAATAGAATAAATGGGGGGCGGGATAGGATGAAGAGAAAAATAGTTGGTTTCCCCAGGATGACTACTATGAAGTGTTTGGCATGACAACACATGTATCCAGTTGCTTCCCATCTCAATGAGGGTGGGTGGGGAGAAAGAAGGGAGAAAATTTGGAACCCAAAGTTTTACAAACAAATGTTAAAATTGTTTTCACATGCAACTGGGAAATAAGATATACAGGTAATGGGGTATAGACATCTATCCTGTCCTACTGGAAAATAGAAGAGAAAGAAGATAAGAGAAGGTAGAGGAGGGAGATAGAAGGGAGAGCAGATTAGGTGAAAGGGTATTCAGAATGCATGCTGTCTTGTGGTTGGGGGAGGGACGAGATGGGGAGAAAATTTGGAACTCTAAATCTTGTGGAAGTGAATGTAAATAAATTTATTCATTTTAAAAAAAGAGATGGTTCCCAGAAAAATAAATCAAAACTATAAATTTTCACAAAATTGCTCTAATAACTAATAATTAGAGAAATGCAAATTAGAAATGAATTTGAGGTATCATGTCACCCTTCTCTCAGATTGGCTAATGTGACAGAAAAGAAAAATGAGAAAGATTGAAGGAGTTGTGGAAATATAGTTACACTAATGCACTATTTGGGAGAGCTGTGAATTTATCCATGCATTCGGGAGAACACATTTTGGAATTCGTCATATATGAAATTAGTAACAAGCAATAAATTTTGAAAAGTGGAAAAAAAAGGTTAGACCTGAACCCAGGTCTCTAGGCTGGTCCTCTTTCTATTATGCCATGCTGCCAGGTACAAAATAAGGACTTTATTATTTTAGCATTGAAGGAAGGCACTGGAATTTTATAATTTTTTTTTAATGTTGAAGGAAGACACTTCCCATAGAAGCAAAGAAATTTGTGGTGATATAAGCTCTTAAACTGACTCACGGTGTTTGTTGTTGTTGTAATTCCATTCTTATCAGTTATCTGGTATTCAGCTAGAAATGCTCTTGAGAAAGATTATATTCCTGCTATTATTTAGGTATGTTTAATGTTCTGAGTACTATGGAACAGGTCAACAAAATGACTTTTTTTTTCTTCTTGTAATTGAACAAAAAAATTGGAGACAGAAGTAGTGTGGTGTCATAGAAAACTGGTCTCAGAGTCAGGAACATCTGGAATTATGTCCTGTCTCTGACTCATATTTGCCTGAGGAAACTTTCAAAGGCTAAATTTGCAAGAGAATGTTGATCTCCACTGGGAGAGGAAGCTCCTTATAGTGAGCATCACAAACTAATGAAATAAAAGTCTAATTTGAAAAATGTATTAGGATATGTGCTCAGTTTTAATAGGTTTGCTGAAAACATCTTCAGGAGATCTCTGGTAAGGCACATGATGATGATGATGATTACATGTGTTCTATCCAATTCCTATATTTTTCTGATTTTTTTCTCATTTTCTGTATTTTGAAAATTTCCTATTTGACATGGCTTCAAGATGATGAGTATTTGGTATGATATCCATTAAAATGTTTCCCTTAAATTTTTATGGATCTATATGTTCCCTTAGCATAGAGCAGTAATTTTAGCTATGAAAACCCTTTAGTTCTAATATGTTTTGTATTTGGAACTCTCAAGGATATAGTGAGGTCTGTGTTGGTAGCATTGGACTTAAAATTTTTTAGTTTATGGAGGTTAACAAGCTTTTAGGTATAATTCTGTCTGTAAGGTCATATGTTGCCAGATATCTGGTAGTTGCTAATGTTTTGCAATCTGCAGTGATAGCTTGCATAGTTTTTTTTCTTTCTTTATATATTCCACATTGATTAATAAATTCAAGCTCCTAAATACCAAACTTCCTGTATTTTCAGATACTGTGTTTTCAGATAAACTTGTTTTGCTTTGTTTTGTTTTTGTTTGTTTGTTTGGTGAGGCAATTGGGATTAAGTCCAGGGTCACACAGCTAGTAAGTGAGTATGAAGTGTATGAGGCCAGATTTGAACTCAGGTCATCCTGACTCCAGGATTAGAGCTCTATCCACTGCCCCATCTAGCTTCCCTGATAAACTACTTTAGAAGAGCTACTTTAAACACCTTAAAACCCCCCTTTTCTTCTGCAGATGGTGGGAAGTTTTAGCCACTTATTCAATAGTTCTTCGTTGGCATGAAGTTGGTCTGATTTACTGCTGCTGTTTTTGTATATACAAAAGAGTACAACATTTGAAACTTAAAGAACTGAGTTCACATTCCAATTCTGACACATGCTAGCTATGTGATCTTGAAAAAAAAATCCCCTACCTTCTCTGAGTTTCTGTTTATTCATCTGTAAAATGAGAAGGATAAAATATATACTGTCTACCTCATAAGGAAAGCATTTTTTAAACCATAAAATTACATTAAAATGATAGCTATCATTCTTTAGTAATAAATAAAACCCTACATAAATGGTTCTTAGGTTCAATTTGAGGAGCCAGTAACATACATATTCCTAGTAATCTTTTTCTTATATACGGTGCTTTCACATACAAATTTCTTACCAAAATCCTTTGGAAAGTTGTATTATTCTCTTTCTTATGTGGAGTAGAAGGAGCAGGTGTTATCTTGGGTTGATTTCTGTGTTCTAATTCTAGGGCTCTTGGTGATATGGGAGGCAATATGTAGACAAGGGGACCCCAAAAGTTTGAGAGCTAAAAAGTTAGAATGACTAATACCAACCAAATTACCTAAAGACTATTTTATGGATTTGTAATAAAATAAGATTTACCTGGAAGAACAAAAGTTCAAGAATTTCAAGGGAAATAATGAGAAAAAAATGAGATGTAAAGCAGAGTAACAGTACTAGATCTAAAACTATTCTACAAATTAGTAATCATCAATATGATTTGATGCTAGTTTAAAAATAGGGTGGTTGATCAGTAGAATGGATCAAGTATATGACACACTGAAGCAAATGAACCTAGGAGCCTAGTATTCAATAAACTCTTAGATCCTAGTTATTAGTCAGCCAGTTTACATTTATTGAGCCTTTTACTATGTATGAGGCACTGTATAAAGGACTAGTTACTTGACAAATTAAAAAAATAACAACTGAAAAGCATGTCTTGGAGAAATTAGGTTTAGAATAAAATCTCAAGCCATATACTAAGATTAGCTCCAAATGAATATTAAAAAAAAAGTTATGCTATAAACAAATTAGGGAAACAGAAGAAATTTCCTTTCAGATCTATGGAAAGGGCAAGACTTAATGAAAAATTTAAAAAGTGTAGAGAGGATTATAGAAGATAAAAATAGATAATTATCAGTACATAAAATAGAAAAGTTTTTGCATAAACAAAACCATGCAGCTAAAATTAGAAGGGGATTTCAGTTCTTCTGAGTTTCAGTTCTTCAAGAGCTTTAGTGTTTCATTGCTTGATGTGATACAACATTGAAAGGATGCTGATACTAAAAATAGATTCCAAAACATGGAATCAAACTAAAATCAAACAAAATAGTTCTCCTTTTCTCATACTTCTCACAAAAGGAAGGCGATCCTTTGTTTTTCTTTCTAATAATCAAGATACAACTGTAAGATAGTCTTACCGAATTATTAGAGGAAAAACTGAAGCCAATGAGATTACAGATTCATTTGTATGTGCATAGAACCAAGTAGAGTCAATCCTTTCCTTCAGCCTCTATGACTTCAGACAGGCCAAACCCCATGATTGGAGTATTATTCTCCCCTCTCTCTGCCTGTTGGTCCTGGGATGTCTCCATCTAGATCTAGGGGGAATGGTGGTCATGATGGCTTAACTTCCCTGGCACATTCTGCTTCCTGCTTCCTCAAGGTGCCTTGTTGCCTCAGCAGGCTGATCTGACTGCCCTGTGTTGGCAGAGAAGGATAGTATCTTCGTTTCATGAGCCTCTTTCCTCAATGATGCCTATGAAGGCTGGGCTAAAAGCTAATCAGTGGTCTGAGAGGTGCTGTCACCCCATCCTGTTGGTCATACTTGGTCATACCTGGTCAAGAATCATTGCTTGCAGTGAAAAGTGAGTCCCAGATCCACAATGATTTCCTCCCCTAAATGATTTTCCAGGACTTAGGCTAGAAGCAGGTCTAGTGGCTTGGGGTAAGGCACACTTATATAAATACATACAGTAAATATACAGTATGGATATGAAGAAATTTAGGAGAGGCAAAGTTCACAAAATTTCACTGTTGGTAAGGAAGCAGTGGCCATCTAATACAACCCATTCTTCACAAAGAATTCTACTTCCAGCTTACCTAAGTGGTCATTCAGCCATTGATTAAAGACCTCAAATGAGAAAAAAACAAAACAAAATATAACCTTCCACAGCAGGCCCTTCCACTTTTGAATAATCCTAATTTTTAGGAAGTGTTTTCCCTCCTTCTATCAAGCCCAAATTCAGTCTTTGCGACTTAGAGCCATTGCTCCTGATTCTGATTCTGGGGACCAACATAACATGTTGGCACCCACTTCTATCTGACATACCTGTAAGTACATAAAGACAGGTTTCATATTAGCCCTTTCTCTCCCCTTAATAAGAAGGAAAGAAGAAATTGTATGTTCTGTATCTAACCTAGTCCTGTAATCTGGCATATATTCATGTAACTATAGAGATTTAGATATTTTCTCAGGATTTAATTGGCCAGTAAAGTCAGTATTAAAGCTTATGGAATTGTTCTTGGAGTCTTGTAGGAGAGAGATGCTGGGAAGAAGAGGAAGCTCTCTCAGGCATAGAAGATTGGCTTGCCTCCATCTTCAGGTCAGGTAAAATTTTGAGGAACCAAATACATACAATCAGATTTTAGCTTCCTTGCTTTTGTTCCCCCTTCAAAGACTCTGAAAAAAGTTACTATTTCTAGCAAAATGACAGCTGCCCTAGTTAACAAAGGAGTTGACAAAGGGTAAGAATGTGAATGCTGATCCTGTTGTATCAACGTAGATGAGATTGCTGTTTCCTTCAGAAAACAACTTTTCCTCCTATGGTTCTGATCCAGGAGAAGACAGCTGCCCTTAATTATCTCCCTGCTTCACTTTTTCTCTGAGAAAGGATAGAATTAATGCTTGAAAGGTAGGTGGAAACCAAGTGGTTGAGGGCCAATAAATATGAATCAAATGAATTTGTGTTTTATCCTAGAGGTAATGAGGAGGCAATGAATGTTTTTTGACTTTGTGATGGAGATTGTCAGTCCTTTGCTATGAGAAGTTTTTTTTTTTTTGGCAGTTCTGCAAAGGATAAATTAGAGAGGGAAAAGAGTGAAATCAAGGAGACCAATTAGTAGGTGATTATAGTAGGTTAAATGAGAGTTCATGAGGACCTGACCTAGTGTGGTGGGTATGTGAATGGAGAGAAGGGGGCTAATAGGAACAATGTTATGGACATAGAATCCTATAGACTCCATAGATTTTAGAGCTGGAAGGGACCTTTGAGATGATTTGATCCAAATCCTTCAATTTATAAGTGAGGTTCCTACAGGTGAAGCAGATTGCTTAAGATCACAGGGGTAGAAGTAGGAGAATCAGCATTTGAATCCAAGATCTCTGATTCAGATGCATTCCATTTCTCATTACATCGTGTTCCTTTCTCTAGGATCACATATGACACAGGGGAACATAGATACACATGAGATTCCTTTGCTTTTCAACAAATCAATCTTCCTGGGCTTTCTTTTTCTCTCTCTTACCAAGATGTACAATTTTTATGGGGTGCAGTAGGGGAGGGAGGCAGTCTTAACACCAGGTTAGAGGCCAGTGTTTTCTCTGGTTTTATTCAATTACAAACAGGCAGTAAAAAAGTGAAATCATTCAAGCAATCAGCAAGCATTAAGTGACAGTTTTCACTCTGCTAAGGACTGGGGAAACAGAGAAAGGCAAAAACAGTCCTGTCCTTAAGGAACTTAAATTCTGGTAGGGGAGATAACTTACATAACAGTAGGTGCAAATATGATGTGTCCAGGTTAGATGAAAGGTAACTTTAGAGGAAGAAGTTTTAGAAATCTGTGTACTCATTTGGTCTCTTAGTAAAAGCTGCTGCCTCACTACCCCCACTGAACAACTGTCCTCCTTCCACTTTATGGTACCATAGGGAGATAAGAAGTAGGAGTTTGGTGCAAAGCTAATTGCTATAATAAAGTCAGATATTTCTTTTTCTTTTCATATTCAGTTCCTAGAAATGGGAATAAGGTTCTTCCACATGGGGAGATGAAACACATTAAGAAAGGAATAGGGTAATGAAGGTGATAATGGAGAAGACCATGGCATAATAATAAGCAAAGAGATATTTTGTAACTTTTCCTCCATTCCTGTAGCCTAGTGATGGATTTCTGATAATAATGGTTATCGCAGTTGGAATTAATTTCCTGTATGACTACATTGTACCATTTAATCTAACTGATTTCATTTTTACTAGCAATTATAGTCCTTCACTATTAACTTAATGAATATATTTTCTTTTATTATCCATATATTTTATGTTGTATTTAGATGTTTTTGTGCATAAAAGCTGTAAGAGAAATCTATATCAGCCTCATTAAATTATGGGGCTAGCAATAATAATGCTGACTTTAGTAGATAAAGATAGTGCTGTTGCCTATCATCAATACAACGTATCATGTTGAGTAATGTAAAGGATTTATTAGTCTGATTTATCCACGCCTTGGCTACTTATAATCCAGAAAGAACTTAACAGCAAAGAGACGTTGGTCTGGTTCATCAGTGTTCTTGTGGGACCAAAACAAAGCAAGCCTAAGTGACCTATTTGGAAATCCCAAGCATTGAATTTGTCCTCAACTTCCTACTCTAAGGGTCTGAGTTAACTAACAAGTCACAAATCCTTCAAGGGGAAAAGTTCTGTTGCATTAAATTATCGATTTGGATGTCACAATGGCATCAGTGAGTGTCAGTTATGAGTTATTTTACTGACATTTAATTTATCACGTTTAGTTTGGTGAAATGATCTCTGCATGCATTCAAGCTCCCTTTAATAAGGGAGCTAAAGGGGGATAAGAACTCTATTGATATGCTTCTTAATTAGTCATATAAAGTTTTAATAATTTAGGAAATGCACATTTATTTGAATTCACAGTGCATGTTGTATTGCTTGCTCTCACAAGAAACACATTAAGGTATATAAATCTGATCCAGCTTTCAACTCCATTTGACCCATTATACCTGCAAAAATGTCAAGCAGCTTGAACTATAACAGTTGTTTTCATTAATACATCTTTTTTTTTCCTTTTTGGAAAGGCCAAAATGTACCCCTGGATATTTCCTATCCATCCTTGTTGACTTCAATAGGACAGAGGAAGAAACAGTTATTCCCATACCCTGTGTGGGTGCTGCCTAGAACACTGATAACTAGTGCAAGTATGTAAATCTCATATGTTTCCATTCAATTCCAGTTTCAGATGCTATATACCTAAATGGAGTAAAGGAGTACTTTAATAGATAGGAATAATTTATCTATCTATCTATCTATCTATCTATCTATCTGTCTGTCTGTCTGTCTGTCTGTCTGTCTGTCTATCTATCTATCTATCTATCTATCTATCTATCTATCTATCTATCGCCCTTGCTGGCATAAAGGCATAATTTTGGTTTAGAACAAAAGCTGCATATCTGACTGGAAGCCCTTAACTTATATTCACCAGTTGGATACCTTCCTACCCAATGCTAGTCTTACAAAAGACAATCACAAATAGAGAATAGTGAATATATACATTTTTTTAATATATAGATTTATTTTTAGTTTTAAACATTTACTTCAACAAGATTTTGAATTCCATATTTTCACCCCATCTTGCCCCTTCCCACAAGATGGCATGCATTCTGAATACCCCCTTCCCCTAGTCTGCCCTCCCTTCTACCTCTCCCCCCACTTCTCTTATCCCCTTCCCCTTCTATTTTCCTGTAGGACAGGATAGATTTCTGTACCTCATTTCCTGTATTTCTTATTTCCCAGTTGCATGTGGAAACATTTTTTTTAAACATGTGTTTTTAAAACTTCGGGTTCCAAATTTTCTCCCTTCCTCCCACCCCAACCACCTACAGTGAAAAGGCAAGCAAGTCAATACAGGCCATACATGTGCAGCTATGCAAAACACTTATATAATAGACGTGTTGAGAAAAACTAACTCTATTTCCCTTAATCCTATCCTCCCCCCCTTTTATTCTCTTCTTTCTTTTGACCCTGTCCCTCCTCAGAAGTACTTCCTTCTGATGACCCCTTTCCCAATCTGCCCTTCTCTCTATCATCCCCCTGCTCTCTTGTCTCCTTCCTCCACTATTTTCCTGTAGGGTGAGACAGATTTCCATACCCAATTGAGTGTGTATGTTATTCCCTCCTTAAGCCAAATCCTATGACAATAAGATTCCCTCATTTCCTCTCACCTTCCCCTGTTTCCCCTCCACTGTAAGAACCTTTTCTTGTATGTTTTGTGCAAGATAATGTACCCCATTGTACCTCTCCCTTTATCCTTCTCCTAGTATAATCCTCTCTCACCCTTTAATTTTATTCTCCAGATACAATCCCTTCATTTTCACCTCACCCTGTGCTATCTATCTATCTATCTATCTATCTATCTATCTATCTATCTATCCATACATACTTACAATTTTTCCCCTCCCACTACCCTAATACTGACAAAGATCTCGTGAGTTATAAATATCATCTTTCCATGCAGGAATGTAAACAGTTCAGCCTTAATAAGTCTCTTATGCTTTCTCTTTCCTGTTTACCTCTTCATGTTCCACTTGAGTCTTGTATTTGAAAGTCAATTTTCTATTCAGCTCTGGTCTTTTCATCAAGAATGCTTGAAAGTCCTCTATTTCACTGAATGACCATTTTTTCCTCTGAAGGATTATACTCAGTTTTGCTGGGTAGGTGATTCTTGGTTGTAATCCTATCTCCTTTGCCCTCCAGAATATTATATTCCATGCACTGCGGTCTCTTAATGTAGAAGCTGCTAAATCTTGTGTTATCCTGATTGTGTTTCCACCATACTTGCATTGTTTCTTTCTGGCTGCTTGCAATATTTTCTCCTTGACCTGGGAACTCTGGAATTTGGCTACAATATTCCTAGGAGTTTTCCTTTGGGGATCTCTTTCAGGGGGAGATCGGTGGATTCTTTCAATTTCTATTTTGCCCTCTGGTTCTACTGTATCAGGGCAGTTTTCCTTGATAATTTCTTGAAAGATGATGTCTAGGCTCTTTTTTTGATCATGGCTTTCAGATAGTCCAATAATTTTTAAATTCTCTCTCCTGGATCTATTTTCCAGGTCAGTTGTTTTTCCAATGAGATATTTCACATTGTTTTCTAATTTTTCATTCTTTTGGATTTGTTCTTCTGTGTCGTGATTTCTCATAAAATCACTGTCTTCCAATTGCTCTGTTCTAATTTTTAAGGAAGTATTTTCTTCAGTAAGCTTTAGGACTTCTTTTTCCATTTGGCCAGTTTTGCTTTTTAGGGCATTCTTGTCCTCATTGGCTTTTTGGACCTCTTTTGCCATTTGGGTTAGGCTATTTTTTAAGGTGTTATTTTCTTCAGTATTTTTTTGGGTCTCCTTTAGCAAGCTGTTGACTTGTTTTTCATGATTTTCTTGCATCACTTTCATTTCTCTTCCCAGTTTTTCCTCTGCTTCTCTTACTTGCTTCTCAAAATCCCTTTTGAGCTCTTCCAAGGCCTGGGAGAGATTCATATTTTTCTTGGAGGCTTTGGATGTGGGAACTTTGACTTTGTTGTCTTCTTCTGGTTGTATGTTTTGATCTTCTTTGTCAGCAAAGTAATGTAATATAGTCTGGCACTTTTCACGAGGTTTGCTCATGATCCCAGCTAACTACTTGAGTTTTAAACTCTTTATTAAGGTAAAAGTATCCTTCCAATGTGGAGAATGTACTGTCCCAAGCTTTGGGGGTTTGTATAACTGTTTTCAGAGATACCTCGAGGGACTTGTAAATTTTCAGTTCTTCCAAGATGGTATGATAGCAGTCAAGGTGTTTACTCTTTTCCTGGCCTGAGCTCTGGTCTTTGAGTGACCGGCCACAAGCAGTCTTTTCTCTCCTGGAACTGTGAGGAGGATTTCCTCTACCCTGCCACTACAAGCTCCACCAATGCCAGCACTCTTCCTCACCCCAGGACTGCTACCCAGAACTGTGACCCAGATCTAAGCACGGGAAAAGCAAGAGATTCCTGCCTCAGCACCAGCAAAGAGATCCCTGCAGTCCTCCACTGATCAGCCACTTGATTCCTCCTTAATCTGTGGGCCGGAAGTTCAGGGCACAGCCCCCGCCCTGGCACCCGCGTTGTGCACTCTGTGCTTTGGAACTGGCTCTGACCTAGCTCTTCTCTTACTCCAAAAACAGACTTTTCCCACTGACCTTCTAAGTTGTCTTTGGCATTCGTGGATTGAGGAGTCTGGAAGCCACCACAGCTGCCCATAATTCAGTCCTCTGAGGCCTGCTCTAGGTTCCCTGCGGCCTGTGTGCCCATGTGGAACTGGGCTCCTCTCCCCATCTAGTGTGATATGCCTTTCTGATCAACCATCCACTGTCTTGGGTGGGAAATTTGTTTTACTCTGTCTTTTTGTGGGTTCTGCTGCTTTAGAATTTGTTTAGAGCCATTTTTATATGGGTATTTGGAAGGGTTTGGGGGAGAGCTCAAGCAAGTCACTGCTTTCACTCAGCCATCTTGAGTATACACATTTGTCAAAGCAGATAGCAAATAAAAATTGGAAAAATTCTACAGATCAGAAAAATCCCAAATTGTACAACAGTAAATGAGTTCTTTGCTGAGAGTGAGATCAGAACTCAGCCCACACCAAGAAAGAGACCCTGATGTAATCCATAGGGAAATTCCCCAAAGCCTCCTAAGGGCCAAACTGGAAATAAGGGACATATTGAGGCACTGTCTTCCCCATCTATAACTTTTTGTCTTTTTCCCTTTCTTCCCTGGAGTTGGTCCCAAATAATGTCTAGAATCACTCAGGTGTCTCTTTAGCAAAGAGTATCTATTATCTTCAAAAGTCTTCCTACCAGTTCTGTCCCTCACACAAGCATGCAATGTTTTGTTGGAATTCTCTTCACCATGCCCAATCAGTAGCATGCAAAAATGAACTAGATTTATAAGCCCAATTACAAAAGAAGAAAAGAAATGGGGAAAACAGTCCAGCAAAATGAATCAAAACTCAACCAATAATGGAAGTATATGCATTGCTCCTGACTCATAACCACCAGCCCACCTCTGTAAATAGGAGAGGCACACACATTAAAATTTCTCCTTGAGGGATAATCTTGGTCACTACAATTACATGGTATTGCATTTTATTTTTATTTTTTTTAAACTGGCCTTTACCAAGTACCTGATATCTTCCAAGCACTATGATAGGAAATGGAGATTATGAGACAAAAATGTCATTGTTGTTGACCCTTTTTTACTCACTTACTTTGCTGACTGAAATCCTTTGCTGTTACAACCATCCTATTTCACTTTTCTCAATCTTCATCTTTTCTGAGATCTCTCTAGCATTTTACACAGTTGACCACTCTTGACCCTGCATCACAGGCTACCTTCGTGAGTATGCTTAAAGAATAAATAAGATCTCTGCCAAGGGCTTTGAGTTTTAAGTATAAATCCCTATTTGTACTAAAATAAAGTAGTGATACTGAGTCAGGAGCTTGGAGAATCTGAAGGGAGGAGAGACAGAAATGCTGATTTCAAGTAACATCAGCTACATCCTGTCAGTAGGGATGGAGAAGTGTAGAATGCAACTGTCTTAAAGGTAGGAATAGCAATCAATGAATCTGAACCTGGAAGGACCAAGTGATAAGCACAAAGTCACGCTTTAAGTTAAGTAACATATCCGAGACAAGAAATCAAGTTTTCTGGCTCCCAGTCCTGTGCATTTCTACTACAGTATACTGTGTCTTGATCTATTTGGTTTTACTATCATACAGCTTACATTCTCTTTATAGTGCAGTCTTTAGCACATTATGACTGCTCCTGGGGCAATGAATAGAAATGAGGATAATAAGACTGCTAGGAAAAATTGATAAGGCAACTTCACTACTTAGTTTAATATACATTCCATATTCAGAGAAAATGTGTCAATCAGTCAAGGAACTTTGAATTCAGAGATGGAGAAACTCCTGTTCCAATGGTAATTCCAACTAATGATAAATCCCAACTATCTAAAACTTCCAGTCATAGAGAATGGGCTTTAACTGATAAAGGCTAAAGGACTAATTTATAGTCACATAGCTATTAAGTATCAGCAGGAGGACTTGAACCTCAGTCTTCCTGACTCTATCCCCTGCATCACACTGCCTCTTTTCCAAAGAATATGTGATATTCTTATTATTAGCCACTCAGGGACCTAGCTTGTATTTTATTGCAATTCTGAAATAACATTTTAACATTGGACCTTAAGCCATTACATTTTCCAAAAAGGCTAATGAAGTCAATCTAAGAACTGGATATGCCACATTGGGAGGTTACTTTTTGTTTGTTCCAGTATTAGTGTTGGCACGAAGAAGATTTGGAGTAATTATACTGGGGCTATCCATTCTTAGTAGGATGTGGCTATAAGACCAACTTTATTTTTCCTCTTTCAGTCAGTCCTTGTCCTTCAATACAGTGAGAATATGGATGAATGCCAACCCTTTTGTAAGTCTTGAGGATTAATGAGATCATATGTGTGACAGAGGAAAGGTGGCTAGGTTTTTTTCTTATTATTTTCATAAGATGTCATCCACAGCTTTAAAATGTGGCATTATACTCCAGCTTCAAGAACTTAGTGACAACTTAGAGTTTTCTTTGCTATTTAGTTATTTCGTCTCAACATTTCATGAAGGGGGCATTTAGATGGACTCCTACATTTGCTCAGAGGCATTACTTTGGTTTGAATTGGTAAGCAAAATGCCATGAAATTATAGAATCATGGAATCAATATTTGGAATTAGTAACCTCAAAATCTATCTAAACCAACACTCCACCCACTGCAGAAAATCCACTGTACTATGGGTAGAATGTAAGCTCCTTGAGGGCGGTGACTATCTTTCATTTTGTCTGCATTTCTTTACCACCTGACTCAGTGCCTCCAACAAAGAAAACTCCTAAGAAATGTTTGTTAGAGTCTATTCACTGACAGGTGATCATGTAGTTTACGTTTAAAGAGGGACTTGATCATGAAAAGGCAACCAATCCATGTGCATGTTAGTCTAATTCTTAGAAAATTCTTCCTTCTCTTAAACAGAAGTTTGCCTATGAGTTCAGCAGTTTGTCATTGTCCCCTCTGAGCTTCTGACCCTCAGAGCTGAACACCTGTGGACACACACACACACACACACGCACACCACACACCACACACCACACACACACACAACACACACACATATGTAAATAATCTGACTCCAGTCCTCCCATTGTTCTTTTTGTCTACATAGCAGCATATATTAAAAAGAATGCCTTTGTTAATGAGACACTTTGGTGCCCTGCAGAGGCTCTCTGCTAGTCAAACATAGGCTTCTCAAATCAAAAACTTCAAGTTACATAAACGTAGCCAATCTAATCTAAATATGTGTGTGTGTGTTAACACACACACACACATATACAAACATACATATATACATATACACCATATATGTGTGTGTATGTATACGTGTGTGTGTGTGTGTCCTGGTTTAGAAAGGCCAACGTGGGACACAAAGGGGAAGCAAATACAGTTTATTTTCTGGGCCCTCTCACCTCTTCTTCAGTGCCCTTGGGAATAATTTTCCCCTCTAAGATCTCTACACTGTTAATAAGGTCCTCTGTGTTATAGTTATTAACTAGAACACCTGTGGTTTTTGCTAGTAAGACTTCTGGCATGAACCCTCAAAGAGAGAAGAATCCTACAGAGAAAGCATAGCTAGAAATGGGTTCTGGAGAAATTTGGTTTCAAATCCTGAGTCTGATGCTTGTGACTGATGCTTATAACCAAGGGCAAGTTACTCTCTGGGAATCCATTTCCTGAGCTGTAAAGTGTGCTGTTTGCCCTACTTTCCTCACCTGGATTGTGCGGAGGAAAGCATTTTATAAATAAGCCACAAGGTCCTATAGAGATTCGATTTACCAAACATTTATTAAGTGCCTTCTATATCCAAAGAACTTTGCTAGGCATTGGGGAAAAAAAGTTATAAAAAGGTTTAGGAATTTTTATTTTGCTTTGTTTTTCTTCCAGGAATACTTCCTTGCAATGTGGAACTCAACAACAGAACTTCAAAACTCAAAGGAATGAAGCAGCAATGGTGGAATGTCAGGTAGTGAATTTATTTTTGTGCAGGAGCCCATTAAAGTCATTCATTCATTCATTCATTCGTTCATTCATTCATTCATTCATGTCAGTCAAACAAGCATTTATTAAAGACTTGCTATATGCCAGGCTATGTGCTGTGTCCAGAGAATACAAAAAACAAAAGACAAAAACATGGTCCTTTCCCTCAAGGAACTAATAATATAATGGGTGAGACAACCTCCAGGAATACTCTTCTTGTGCCTCAGGCCAGTCTTCCTGTAATTATTTGAGTGTCCACTAGAGTTGTAACAGGAAGAGCTTTAAATGTCAAGCAGAGGAGTTAATGTTTTGTCCTAGAGGTAGTAGTGAGACACTTAAGATTTTTTAGTGGACAAGTGAATTAGCCAAAAATATGCTTTTGAAAGATTATTTTAGGGGTAGCATGGAGCCTATGGATGGGAGAATGGAGAAACTGGAAGCATGGAGACAAATTAACAGTATATATTGCATGTATTATAACATTTTTTCAGGGGTTTCCTGAAGACTTTAAACCTTTATTCAAAGGAATGACTATAGGCATTTTGTGGCAGTCTGGAAAGCAAAATATTTGTGGTAGCAGTTTTTTTTTTTTTAATTTACACTGAAAGATTTAAATTGCACAAAGTAGATAGTTACCTACTTGATCTATAGGTAGGGCTTTGACTATTAGATACAGTTTTCTGTAATGGCTTACTGACATGATAAAGCAGGAAATGGCTGCCATTCAAAGGTGTACATGTTAAGGTCATCTGTAAATAGCCTTTTTTGGTTATTGTCCATGCTAAGTATATTTTTGTCTTCTTACACAGATGCATAAAATAGTGACTCCAAAGTTGTTCTAGGCCTGCTCCCTAAAAAGAACTGAGGTCACTGTTTCCTATCATTTCCCAGAATTTGTCATTTGAAATAGTCCTAGGAATAATTTCAGAATACAAGATCATAATTCAATCGGGGGCAAAAATCCACTCTTTAGCCTGGGGTCTATGATTTCATTAGTATAGTAACTGGTTGGTTGTTGTTGTCCTTCATTCTCAAAGAGGACCAAAATGACATCATTATGCTAGAGTCAAGTTTCAATGTGTCTGACTATACCTGATCAGACCAATACAAGCTCGGAATGTTCTACCACAGTTTGAGCACAAATAGTCCATTTGAACACTTAGGGTAGGCTCTCTAAATTTGTGCTACTGGGTGAGGAAACATATAGCAATGCAGGTTTGAACCTTCTCTGCAACTTTGTCTTAAAGGCCTACCTAGAGCATTCAAAAGTTAGGTGATTTGCCAGATTCATACAGTTAGTATGTATTAGAGATAGAATTTGAAACCAGGTGTTTCTGGCTTAGAGGACATCTCTCTACACACTATAAAATTATGCTTCACTCTTAAATTGTATATGAATATAAAGTTTTACTATATGTATATGTACATATATATATATATAGAGAGAGAGAGAGACAGAGAGTATATAAATATATAGTATATATATATATAATATGTATATACAATATACATATACACACATATATATGCATATATATGTATATACATGTATACAAGTATCTGTCTATGTATCTATGTATCTATGTATCTATCTATATCTATTTCTATCTATGATGGTGCAGTGAATGAACAATTTTTAAAATAAGAAGAATGCATCATTTGTTTGTCATGTAAAAGTGAAAGAATAAGGGAAGGGGGAACCATTGAAAGGAGTGGGAAAGTGAATGAAACTAGTAACTTAGTAACTAGCATCAAGTTCACATACTTAGGGAAGATATGAGAAAGTATTAGACATGATTAACATTGAATAACAATAGAGATCTAATTGAGGGATTCCATTGTCTCCTTGGAATATGTTTTGAAATCATTTGACTTGAGATATAATTTATAGATGCTTTCAATTAGCAAGTTAGGTATGATTATGTGTGTGTGTGTGTGTGTGTGTATGAACACACACACACACACACACATGCACATGTACCTGCCCTGGCAGTTAAAGGGAATCATCTGAGTTATGGTGTTGTTCTTGTTGTTAAGGGCTTTCTGGAGCTAGTGCAACAGAACTAGTTTTTATGAAAAGTTGTTATAAAGAAAATGAATTCACAGTAAGCAGTCTTCCAAGGCTGAAACATGCCAAGTATTTTTGGGGTCTAGAGTGAAAGCCCAGGGCAATCAGGTGGTACAACAAGGGTGAACTATTCTTATTGGACATCTTGATTTTGTTTGATAACTTTTCCTTTGTCAGACATAAAACACTAAACATTTAGCTACTGGTGTGTTGTCTTATACCCTATTTGAACTGAAGATCCTCCTTCCCTCTGTCCTGTGTCCTTCTCTCTCTCTCCTTTCCTGCATCCCCCCTCCCTTCTTTCCTTCCTTCCTTCCTTCCTTGCTTCTGTCCTTCCCTTTCTTCTTTGCTCTGTACTCCTGTCTTTTCTCCTTCCCTTCATTCCTTATGTTCTTCTATCCTTCCTTAATTCAACAGTTTTCTAAACTCATGTCGGTAATTCATAAGTCTAGCTAGCAAAAATAAAGACAATGAATTATGTAAGAGAGTGGGTAACACCTTTTGCTCTCTCCTAAGGGTGTAGCAAATTTTGTAGAGTATAAGTCAATGCATCCTTCCATTTTATTCAGGACTGAAACCTAAAGTAGCACTGAGTAATTTGAATAACCCTGCCTAGTTTATTTCAGAGGTACTAGATCCTAAGGGATAATTGGGGTGGGGAGGTACTTAGGATCTGTTGAGCATGTAGAACTGAGAGAGTTATTGACATAAGACAAAAGTATACCACTTGGGTGCTGGGAGAATAAGGATACCTGAATGTTGACCTTTCTTGGAAGGTAAAAGGTGGTAGGCTGGAGCAGAGAGTACAAAGCAGAAATACCCTCACCTAGAAATACTTGTGAATTGATTGATCAAACTGGAGCTATGGTCAGACCTTCAATACAGTCTGCTATGACAAGAGTGCCAAAGCAGTCCTGCCCATACAGTCAATCCAAGAGAACTGGTTTTCAGGAAAGGGATGACTGAAACCATTAGCTTGGAGCTGCAAAGAACTGTATGGAAATAAAAGTGGGTCATGGGACTGTGGATGAGTTAAGGGGAACTGTCCACAGGAAGAAACAACCAACATCATATGTTGGTAGTTGAGGAGAAAGGTGGTATGACATGCAGAAGCCATACTCATTAGAATTGCTGGAGAATTATCTTATATCACAAATAGGACGTGGGAATAAAAGACATCACTTTCTGGTTGCTGCCCACATGCCTGTCCACTCACGCTGCCTTCTGGGAACAACTGAGAGTTATGACTTAGAGCTCTACTCTGTATATGTCTGGGAGTGATTGAGGACATAAAAGTCTGTGAGAAGAGTTTCTTATTGTTAGAACATGTTATTTTCTATTAGTTCTGAAATGAATTCTCTGTTTTCATTGTTCTGAGAACAAACTTTTTCCTTCTTTGTATGTGCTCGCAAGTGGTGTTAGTGATAATAGCTGGGTGATGTCAGAAAGTGAAATTCCTGAAATATGACAATATGGCATGGGTTAGAAACTATGGAACTAAGAAATATTTCTCTTTTCCAAGGACTTTTATGTAACTGGAGATTCTCAGAAGCATAAATGCTTATGGTTACATAAGCATTTCATTGAAATACGGGTTAATGCCTATAAAGTTTTGGTTGAAATAAGTTTGAATCAATTATTAGTTGGCTCAAAAATAAAAGGCCATCTACTACCTCTTCACCATGGAAACCTCTTTAAATTCTCCATACTTACATTGATGCTAGAGTGGAGATGATGTAAAATGGAAGAGCATCTTGTTAAGGGACCCTCAATCAAATATTATACATCAGAAATTTGTGGTACTTTAATATTGATCTGTAAGACCAGCTGATACAGAGGCAGAGATGTTTCTCTTGAGATATGGGAGAAACAGGAAAAGTGGCTTGACCACTCAACCATGACCTATTCATTCTGTTGGCATTATGACTTTTATATTAATTCATAAAGGTATTAAATATTCATTGAGTCCTTTATGAATTAGTGAATATAGCAAATATAAAGGTGTATTTCATTTCATAGTCACTGGGCTAACCATATGAGACCTACTATATTTTTAAGCAGTGCTATGGGACTGCAGCTATGGGATCCTACTTAAGTGTAGAGTAAAGACAATGTACTAAAAAAATTCCTTTGTCAAAGTCATGAAAAAAAATATTTCTGATTTAAATGGATTTCCTTGTGGGAGTAAAGAAAAGAAATCTCATCAAAACATCAAGACATCAAATTATTTGGGGATATAATGACTTAATACATAGGTCCTTCCTGAAGGATTCATTTTTTTGGATGTGTATGCCTAATATCTTCCAGTATCCATCAGTTTCTTTGTGATCTGATTAACCTAGTTTTTTCCATGTTTTTGAATAGGAAAAAAACTAACAAATAAATAAAAAGAGGTGCAAAAAAAAAAAGCTGTCCATGAAAAAAAAGAAAAAAGCTGGCATCATGAAGGAATAAAAAAGGAACAAATGCCTATTATTTACCTTGGATCTATAAAAGAGCTGTTCCTAACTTTACTGGTTCTCTTGCCCTCCTCACTCAACATCATCCAAGGTGTTTTTTTTTTTTTCCGTCTTTTTATCTCTACTTTTGCCTTTGGCTATCTGATTGAAGTCAAAACTTAATATTTCTCCTGACCTTTCAAAAGTTATTTTTTATTCTTTGTTGAGTAACTTCAATATACTAGATCTGCCCTATCCCCTCTCTCATTCAACCTCTTTAAACCTTTCATTTAATAAAGATGAGAATGAAATGAAAACAATATAGTAATTCTTCAATTGGCAGGCTATGTTTTAGTGGCATCTAGACTGAAAGTCTGCCAGGAGTCTAATGTTTGTCAAATGGAAGTGCTGGCTGTTAGCTCTCATCCTCTCAGTACCAGATCCTTATAGATATAGATATCCCAGGAATATGCTTTTGAG